CCCCAAAACCCCAAAACCCCAAAACCCCTTATTTTTTATAAAATATAAATTCTTTACAGTAAATAACTTGACTTATTTTGAGAAATAGCTCCAAATTATCAAAATTCTTTCATTTCTGATCTTTTGAAAGTCTATTCGGTACCATCTCAGAAAGGCTGAGCCTTCCTGAGATGGCACATTTAGAGTCTTAGAAGCAAAGAATGTGATATGAATCTTTTATAGGTATAATCAATGACTACAAACCAAGCTAAGAATATACTACCACTATTGGCTGATTTCAGATGTTCAGCACTAGACAACTTCTCTTTTAAAAAAGCTATTGATATGAAGAATAAAATGTACGATACTATGAACTTAGAAGGTATTCTCAAGCATCCTTTGAAGCCAAAGGTAGTTATTCATGGTACGTCGAGAGATATTCCGAATTCAGATGCTTATTAATAATAGCCTAAATTCAAAAATTCCTATTTCTCTTTTTATAGATTTCGATGATAAATAAAAGGTTAACAAAGAAATCAAAGGAAAGGCAGTTAAGAGGTAAGAAAGAGTACCAAAAATGTATTGGAATTGTATTTTTGGGTTATGTAGCATTAGAAACTATCATCTCTTTTAGTTATGTCTTCAATATAATCTAAGCGAATAGACATCGAGAAAGCAAGATTATCACTTGAACCAGTTCATACTACAAGTCTTGAAAATCCAGTGAGGTTACAGCTAAAGAAAAAGATGAGAATGAGTTCTGTTGCTACCTCTCTTCGAGAGACAAGAGGTAGTCTTCTTAAGAAATATACAAAAACTGCTATCCAGAGTCAGAGACCCGGAAAAAGGAAAACTAATGAAAATTTAAATGAAGTTGAAGACTATGATGATTACGAAGACTCAGAGGATCAATATGTGGATTACCAGCCAAAGAAAACTATTCCGATGAATCTGTACAGCATCCGCAATATTAGAGTTGACCCTATTATTGCCAATGTAAAAACCAAACCAAAGATTGTAAGAAAGCTATTATATTTTAGAAATATATCAATCTTAAGCAGAAAGTTCAGGCAGCGGAAAAGCACAGTTCAAGACCTGGTTCGAGAAGTAAGACTGGTGGGAGGGCATACCACGGCTATATTAATCGGAAAATTAGCCAAATCAAGAAAATACCTGAGCTGAATATTACTAAATCAAGTATGGACAGTGGGCAATTGACTAGTCCTCATAGTAAGTTTTCCTGATAAATTTTGGCCATAAACTTTGATAGGGTCTTCCAAACCTCATTATATCTACATAATCCCTGATGGGATCAATATTCTAAAGGATAAATACCAGGTGTTTAAGATTGACATTCAACCTTATGTCAATAGCCTCTTACCAAAGCCAAGAAAAAGGTAGGTGCAACTGTCAATTTTTAGGAAATATCATTACAGAAGGAAGAAAAGAGAACCCAGGAAAGAATTGCATCCTCTCTCTGAAGGAATCAAAAGACAAGTCTTTAAGCAGTTCCTGGCTGATCTCACTATTGAGATGAAGTCTCGGAAGGAAATTACTGCGCTATATACTATAGATGGAGTGCTTCTTCATGATCTCATGCAGATCCAACCCGAAACTAAAGTCTTCATCTCTTCTACAAAAAGGAAATTTATAGGAGTTAAAGGCATAGGTACTCTTGAATCTGAAGAATTTAAGCTAGATGAAAATAGAGAAAAGACCAAACATGCCTTCCTCAAAGCATGAGAGAATTGGATAGATGCTAATCCTGTCTATGGTCTACCTGAAGAGGCCGGGGATAAGTTTTTACTCTAACTTTGAGGACCAGAACTCATTGATTTTCAGGATAATTCAAATTTTTAGACTAAAAGTGGGGTTTTGGGGTTTTGGGGTTTTGGGGTTTTGGGG